CACACATATAAAATTTTATAACAAGCGGTCTGGCAATTTCCGAAATGTATCTATCTGATAAAAATCGACACAGACAACAGACAGACGGATACGATAAACAAAACATGAAAGTAGCTATTTCCTGGATGGACCCTATTACAATACTTCCTTAGCTTAGGTCGGAAAGTAAAATTCAACTTAAATAAATAAATGAGTTTTTTAATGTTAGAAAATGGGTAAGGCAAATAAAAAGAAACACATTAATATTTATTTTATTAGTATTTCCCCAATTATTTCAATTTTTGTGATCAATGTAATAAAATCTAAGTGTGTGCTATCACTTAGGTAAACAAAAAAGCCAAAATCTCCAATTTTTCTATTCTTTTGTACATCTTAAATACAAATATTTTATTAGTAATAAATTTTTGACGCTTATTTTTAAACAATATACAAACAAATCAATATAAAACTTGAATTGGCAAGTAAAGGAAATGCTAAAAAAAAAATCGATAAAACAGAGAAAAAATGGATTTAAAATATGGTTTAAATTTTAGAAGGTTGTTAAAACTACTTACCACTTTAAACAGTTTTTCACACGCGCTATATGCTGATGAAAACTTTGAAATTTGATACATCATTTTCAAAGTTGTATAAACAATTCAAAATAAATAGGAGTATATGAAGAAACTATAAATGTACACAAAACTATGCTTTTCAGAGCATTCCAAATGAAACTGATTGACATGGATATTAACATATTTTGCAGGGGAGAAATAGACAAATTTTCGGAACAACCTGCTTTTTACTTTCTAAGATAACAATCAAAATTGTATTACAAATTTTTTTCAAAAATTTCATCCGCGGTGTTGAAAGGTCTGAATTTATATGACAATTGATTTTGTGAGCTTGAGATGACGGCAATTCATTTTTAATGGAAAAGAACAAATAAATTTTGGTTGGCGTTGTACTGTCTACATTATACACGTATTGTTAACACATATCTAGAATTGCGTAACACTCTGACTGATGGTTTTGAAGATTGCTTGTCTAATAAAATCGCCAACATTTGACAAACAAACAGAGGACAGATAGACAGAAACTAGAGATCTACTTTTTCAGCATCTAGAATTCTAGAAGCTATAGAATGCTTAGAAAGAAATTGTGTGGGCTCATGAAGCAAAAAAAGTATTATTGTTATTGTACGTATTAAACAAAAATCTGCTCCCACCAAATTTCTTAATGACGTCTCTTTAAAAATTTCCAAAAATAAATTATTTAGTAAATATTATTCCAAATGCATATTCTTAAAAACTACTTTTCTTGAAGTTTAATATTTTGTAGTGATTTTTAATGTTATCATCCACTTACACACACTTAAAAAAAATGTTTATCCACTTTAATTTTTATTACGTCTATTAGGTAATAACTTAATAAGTAATTTTTAAGCAAGGTCCGAAAAGATGGCAATTTGTTTGCCACAGTTATCGATATCTTGACAGAAAATAAATGGTTTTATAAAATTTCTTAACCTAACAGGGCGGCTGCCTGGTGCAGGGGTCGCATATGTCAAGCTGGGCCCGGTTTGCTAAGACGTCAGGCGCAGATCCGCATGCCGTAATACAATCTTGAACATAATAGGGCCAATCCGGCTGCTGCCGTGTTATTAGCCGACACAATGCCGCTTTGTACCGTCGTTCCCAGTGCTATTGCTGTTACAGCGACAACAATCATTGATTTTATCAACAAATCTGACAGTAACTACTGCTGCTGCTGCTGTCTAAATAAACTTAACAGATCTCTCTCGAATGGAACAACTGATTCTAAATTGTATTCACCAAAATTTCTTTATAGCCTATTTGCAAAAACATGCGTAAACTGGAAATTGTTTTGTTCCTGCGTCAGCTCCTATTTGCTAATCTTCGAACAACAAGCGAAAATTACATTCTGCTTTTCGAAGTTCGCTAAAAGTTTCTTATTCGATTTAGTCAATTTAGGACAGCTTCATCCCGCCATTAGCTCGAGTAAAGAATGACATCAAATTGTCAATTAATGCATCAGTTCAAAACCAATTCTTAGTGCGCTTACGGCATCAACATGGCCGTATTGCCAAGGGGGAAACTTAAGAATAAGGATAATCAAGGGTGCGGGGATATTTAGGGGAGGGTCCAGAAACTGTTCTTCCCTTTTTCTTTACTTCTGCTGATGTATAACTTAAATTGAAAACTAAAATTGAATCTATGTCCAGAAGAGTAAAATGACATCCATCAAAATATTAACTCCTAGTTGTTAGTATTTTGTTTGACAAACTGAATTTATTTGACTTTTACAAGACATGTTTCAACATACAAAAGTTTATTGTAATTTATTTTTTTACCGTTCAAACTTCAACCAACAATGCAAAATTAAGTAGTTTATTTGGTAGTACTGATTTGGGCTCTTCTTTAAATTAAAACATCAAAACACAATGCAAAGCACAATTATCAATAGCAATCTCCCGAGTGCGTGTCAAATTGTCGAAAATTAGCAGACAATTTAACTTTATTCAATTTGCGGATATTTTGCAGACTATTTCCTGAGAAAAAAAAATGCACATCTATCGTTGTAAGTATTCCTATAAAAAAATTAAAAAAATAACCTACTTAATTTACGCAAAAATTATGAAAAATCAAATAGTTTCTGGATCTGTATCTATGGAAATTTTTGCATGATAACGTAAACAGTGTAAGCGTAATCCAGACTCTATGGAACACTGTCGCAAAAGATCTGCAATGTAAAAAAATGTGGGGGTCCTCATCTTCGTGTGTACAAGTCAGAGAGTTAGAAGACAAAAGTGAAACCCACCTTTTTTATAAAAATTTGAAATTCGTCTTATTATTTTTATCATTTTCAACTAAATGTCAAATCTGATAATTTTGCACTAGTGCAAAATAATCGCTGAGATTCTATTTTTATTGGTCATCATACAGAAATATAAATAATTTGATTGGATTAATTTTTTTGACGGAAATAGACATCCACCGAGTTTTTAGAAAGCAAAACCGAATAAATCTATAAATTATCGACTTAAACTGGACAGAAATATTCAGAGATACTTTTCAAACTTCCAGAACACTATTTTTAACAAAGTATTCCTCCTCTGTTACTACTATAGTCCATGAAATTTAAAAAAATTCTAATGAGATACTTCACGAATATGACATAATATTGAAAAATATCTTATCTCTATCCAATGACAACAATACATTTAAAAAATATATATCTCCTGTTAATGCCAATTGTAATTTTAAGTTGTTACCAGAAAATATGAAAACACTTAAAAATATGCAATCCTTTTCAAGAAAAAAGTAAATTATGAAGTGGAGAAAACTGTAGATAAATTTGTTACCTACATCAAAACTTAATATCAGCTGTATGTTTTATACTTAATTAATGTTATCTCTGTTACTCAAATGTATGTAATGAAGATTTAACGAGTAAATTATTAACACTTATTACAGTTTATAAAAATAAAAACTTCTAGTAAATATTATGCACCTTCAAGCTGTTTTCTTGAAGAAAATCATTATCTTTATAATTGCGGATTCAAATCGAATTTTATAAGTCATATAGGTACGCAAAAATTTGTTCTCTAGACAGAAAACAGTGGTAGAGAACCCATAAAATATAAAATAGCTTCAATTTTATATTGTATTTATTTGTTATACGATACAACGTACAAAGAACTTGAGATATTGTATACCTGCTTAAAAAGGCTCTATATCACCGAGACATTCAACAATATATTCGAAAATTAAACGAACAAAATATGATCAGTTAATGTTGCTAGCTTGACTTTTTGTTGATGATGTTCATTACAGGATTTCTAAAAATTTTGAATTTGTGTTTTTAAGAGGAATCGTTGCCGATAGTGTCAAATAAGTAATTCTTAAATAAAAATGTCAAAAATATTCCTCTGATCTAACTACACATTTTGCTAATTAATTTTTATATTAATTGCATAACTTTTTTCGTGTTTAGAGAATACCATGTTAATTGTTATTATTATTAAACTTGTTTCTCCCGAAGGTTTCTTTCTCTAAAGCCACCTCAAACTGATTTTAACGTTTGTGTACATAAATTTTGCACTGACAAAGGAGATAAAATGTTGTAGGTGTACTATACCTCCAAGAAATTTTGCAAACAATCATCACGCGAAGATGAAATGCGTGAGATTAAGAGAGACAAATGTTAAAATATTAATCAGACCGCCAAAACCTGCTTTAAAACGCTATTGTTTTGTAAACACCAAATAAGTTGTCCTTAGCTACTGTTTATGCCTGGTAAGGTTATAATTTTTTAACATAATACAGGAATAAATATAATTTTATTAATTTATTTGTACCTTCACAAAACACTTAAAAAATTGCTGAAAAACTCAGTAGAAAGCATTATACTAAAGTTGTACAGGTAAAAGTTTTAAACAAGTAAAGCAATTATTGCATAATGTAGCTTAAACAGTCGTTAAAGGTAATCAAGGAGCATATTGCGCTTAAAGTCAAATAAAATGAATCGATCTGGCGTAATGTCATTATTGTTTAGAAAACATGATTATGTTTATGTAGCAATCAAATGGAAATGCACGTAAAAATATCTCTAATAAGGTAAGATAAATCGATTACCGAATAAACACAGGTGTTTATCTAGAAAATGGAAATAAAATTGAAGCCTAGAAAGTTCCAGTTATAAGTAAAACGTTGTGTGTATTCAACTTTAACGAGTTTTTGACATGCAGACAAAGTAAGCAAATAAAGTGATACCAAAACCACCTGTTTAATACCTCTGGTGCAACGGTTGCACGCTAATAGCCTCCAAGCGACCAAATAACGTCCACTTTACGTCAGTAATTTCATTTTATAGATGCTATCTTGATTTATAACAAATAACATATTTGCTTTCAGTAAAAGCTTTTTCTAACCCATAATCAGAAACACTATTAACGATAATGGTCGTTCAATTATTTACAGCCAAACTTTTCGTTCCAGGTATGGTTCCAGAACCGACGGGCAAAGTGGCGGCGACAGGAAAAGATGGAAGCTGCGAGGCTGGGTCTCAGCGAATACCATGCCGTCTCCTCGTTATCTAGAGCAACCGGATCTACCCTGGCGCTGCCAATGGACCCATGGCTTTCGCCACCTCTTCTCTCAGCTTTGCCGGGATTCCTTAGCCATCCTCAAACCGGATATCCAAGTTACCTGACGTCTCCTATAGCGACGGATCCGAGCCGACCTCCTCCTGTAGCACACTCTCATTCTCCCACAACAACACCAGACCTGAGAACTACCTCCATAGCAGCTTTGCGTCTTAAAGCTAAAGAACACGTCGAGAACATTACAAAAGGACTCCAAATGGTGTAGATGTGCTCTGTTGAGTGACAATCATTTTGTATATATCTGTGTTGCGAGTTTCATTTCTTGTAAATATCAATGTGTATATTTGGTCCCTATTATGGTGTACATTTATTACAGTATAGTTGTTGGACTTATCGTGATCGAGTGTTAAGTACAATGTTTTGACTAGACATTACAGGTACTATGTGATTTATAATCGCAATATCTCAATTAAATTAATTCAATTTGGTTAATGTCTGTAAAGATACATACCAACATGTATTTTAATTTATGGATGAGTTTCTGCCGTTTGACATTTAGACCAAAATGTAGATTTAATGACGACAAACTTTTAATAAAATATTCGAGTCTTAATGTCAAACCCGGCGCCTCCACCAGTTTTTTTGTTCGAGAAAAACTGCAGGTGGTCGTAGAAGGTAGTAATTTCGCAATGATGAAGAACAAATTGATTATAATTACTTAACTACATAATTGTTTCCTTTAGAGCTGTGAATTTTTGTAAATAAAGCACAATAAATTATATTACTTAAACGATATAATAGGTTTCTTTGACGTCAAAGTTTTCTTATATGTGTTAATTAAAATTAAAATTGTTACCGTGTTTTAATAGAAACAAAATTAAACCAAAACCGAGAGAGAGAATGTTTTAATCATCATTTTAACAAGTTATTAACTTGCGTCTAAACGTAAAGGAAAGAAAAAGAAGAAAAGGCGTTAGCTTGTCTCCCTCTCATTTAATAAGTGCGGCCAATAGCTGAGTTTAGTTAATACGGTGGAGATCAAAGAGCACTTCAGTTTTAATTCCACTTTATCTAGAGGGCGTAGAGAGTCTGGCTAAAGCAATAAAATGCTAATACGTGTTTGTCGTCGCTAATCAGCCGTTACTATGGCACGAGCTCCACATCTTGCCCAGTTAAAGCCATTTCTGCAACAACTTAATGCCTTAATACTACCAAACGTGCCATCTCAGATATGTGGCATTTTTCCGTTCCATTTAAAACTCAAATCAGCTATAATTAAAAAAAAAAATTAATATCATTTACAACACAATATTCAATCAACAAAAAACAAACAGGTAATTGAGTTGCGACTGTTTATTTAAGCGTACGTCGTATGCAGCTTCTATGTATATTATCAGATTAACTAATTTATAATACTTTGTCAAGAACATGTTGTATATAGCCATTGTTTTCTCGTAGTAGTCGGCTAGGTTTGTGCATTTTAATTCAATTTTCCGATAACAATAGTATTCTCATCTCTAAAATTTATTTTAAAAAAAGAATGAAACAATTTTCAGACACATTTAATGTTCAGCGTCAACGAACTTGAATGGCTCTAACTTTCATAGTTTCGGAACCTGTCCACATTCTTAAAATTAAAACACAGAAGTACGTAAATTTACGAGAATCAATACACATTATTATTAGTTATAAAGCTATTTTTGCGCCAGAAATGGCGTAAAACAAAAATCTTTAAATCTCCTGCGATTAGATCAGCGAAAACGCAGAGAGGAAAAGGTATTGGAAGCGACGACATTATCATTTTCCTCACCATTAGGTAGTCCCCTCGAAATAGTGGTAAAAGAGCGGGCGCCCCTCTTCCCGACCCCGCTCGTCGATCATTCGCCCCAGAGCCGCGATAATTAACTCTCTCTTATTACTTTATTGGTTTGTGCCTGTCTATTTGGTCCTTCTCTTTTTTAATCAGACTGTTTCCAGACCGCCCAACCATTCTAATTGCCCTTTTATTGCCGGCGGTCCGCTCGCTTCATCTGATATAAATTTAACCAAACTGACGGTTGGCTGAATGCACCCCCAACTTCACTTCGCCTCGATGAACTCAGCCTAATTTAACTTCTTTTATTCGTTATTTACTTTTTTAGCCATTTCTTTTGTTGTATTTTATCTAATTTTGGTGGGGAATTTATTCCGTAATATCAGTTGATATGTGAAAATCAACTGAAAGCACTGGGCTGTACAATGTTCATGTAATTAAGAAAAAACAAAATAAACGTTATTTTGTCTCAACTCTAGAGATACAACGTATACAACAGTACAAATATTTTAAAATCCGTTCACTCTTTGCTTGGAACTTGATTAGTTCTCAAGTGTATGAAATGGAAAAGTTACAGGACGTAATATTTATAACTTATATTTTTCCGAATAGGATTTTTTCGACCATATTAATGGAATGGAACAAAAAAGAAATAGCACAACTTGCTTGACAAGAAAAAGATTAAATGACTTGTTCTAGATCAATAAAAACTAAACACTCCCCTATGAAATAGAGAATTAAAATGTGATCAGTTTACGAGATGGATTATTGTAATCAGTAAAATTACTCTTTGTAATTAGTTGCAGTCAGTTTGATCCTTTCTGTTGTTTAATTTAAACTAAAGTCAATTTATATCTGTATCAGAAAATTATAACATATATTAAAAAATCAAAATATTTATACGATTCCAGGTTTCTGTAAAAATATCTATGGTCAATTTTACTAGCTATTTGTCAATTATTTAAATTATTCAGATATTGACTAGACTATAATTTTATCTATATAGTATAAACTTTTAAAATTTTGTTCTATTACTAAAAGTAAAATTTCTTAAGTTGTACAGTGGGTACAAATTAAGATTAGTACCCTTAAATCTTGCTACCGTCCTCTACAATCAACGAATACAATCTTACATATCGGATGTTCAACTGAAAAAGAAACCAAGTAGGTATGTCTACAATAAACGTAAAATATAATCAATGACAGCTAAGAACACGGAATAGTGCACCTAACCTCACTTTTTGGTATAATAAAATTAACGCTTTTCAACAACTACGTCAAATGTCATTTCAACTGCCGCAACATTATGGATTAATAAAAGACTTGCGCTTTTCGCTAAGTTTTTTTCTATTAAAAAAAAACAACGTCAACTTGACGACTTTTTTAAAGGAACTACTATGTAATACGTAAAAAGCAATACCACAATACGGATAAATTTTGCTTCCAACAATTTCAAAATTTTTGTACAGTTTAACCGTCACAAGTTTCAGCAAGTTCTTAATTAAATTTTGGTGATAATAGTGATAATCTTATAATACTACAAGCAGTTGCCATTCCTTACTAATCAAAGAACAACTTACTTGTTCGCGCGCAGTTTTTGAGCGTATTTCAAACAAACTGACTTCAACATTTTAGTAGGGTAAAATATACCAAATTGAATAGGTGCAGCATAATACTAATAACAACGGTACCAATTTTAAAACATCCTGTATAAACAATTCTAAAAAAATTGGAGTGTACAAAAAACTATATGTACAGAAATATACTTTTTGAAACATTTCAAGTAAGGTTAACAGTACAAGATTAGACTATACAAAATTTTGATATGACATTATTAAATTTTTGAAAGGGACGAACAGACTCTGAGTAGCTTTTTACCATGTCCACAACAGCCGATCTGCAAGATTTCAAAACGATTGATTTTGTAGTTCCTTAGAAAACATATAAAAGTTTTTTTTTCAAAAATCTTCAAAATTAATAAAGCAAAAGGTATAAAAGATATTATTTTATGCACTTCAGGTAAGATTTATACGGAAAAATTTTGAAATGATGTCGATATATTTGTCGCGAAAAAAAAGCAGACAAATTTTGGTTAACATTTGTCATCTACACGATATTATTAAAATACGTCCAAAATTTTGCAACCATATATCTGGTAGGTATATGAGAGATTAATTGTCTAATAAAATCGCCACAGACGACAGACAACAGACAGATGGAGATCGGAGATCTACGCCACTCGTTCCAGTTCCCTAGCTTATGTTCGAAAAGTAAAAATTAATGGTAATTTTGACCCTTTCTTTTCATGTCACGATATTTTTGAAAAAAAGTTTCGACAAGGGAATGTGTTATAATCGTAAAGAACAATTACAACTTAAAATCAAATTTCTGGAATAATTAGACACAAAACAATTTCACCAACTTTTTGTGTGTTGTTCTATTTCCAAGTATCGTTGTTTGGAATTTTTTTTTGCCGCCCGAACTTTTGCTTTACGAATAATAAACCTACCATTGTATACAAACTTTCTACGATGGGGAAGGTAGGGTAAAACTTATGCTACATAAAGTTAAAAGTACAATAAATCAAACCGTTTTCAAAATAATAAAATTCATCTATACTTCTAAATATTCAAGCATTCATTTTTCAATAATGAATTTACAAGTTACAAATTCAAACAAACTCGCAACTTGGTGAAAAAAAAGATGAAAATTACGGAGAATTGTTACCAGTAAACATCTGAAATAGAATTCTTCATATACCTGTTTGTCAGTGATCTTATATTACAGTGTTCCGAATGCAATTTGTTTTTTTTTCCAAGAAAATAACAAATGCAGACTATAAACAGCACACACTATGAAATACAAAACACTGCGAACAATAATGTACCTACTATGTTTAAATAATGTTAGATTAAAAAAAAATCAATACCGTTCTCAAATCGAGTTATCTGTTTTAATCTGCAGAAGAATGATTGGATGAAAATATTAATAGATTTTTCGTTGTCTACCAAAATGGTAGAATCAAATTTAGAAACAATGTTGAAACGATTAGTAGAAGTATATTTGAGAGTAGAATGGAGAAATCTACTGAAATATTTAGAACTACAAGATAAGTATAATACAGTAGTAAAATATTACATATAAAAGAGAATACTTAAAATAATAAGAAACAAATCAATGGAGCTGCAAACCTCCGGATCAGACAACCATGGATTTTTGAAGTTTGTCTTTGATCGTTGCGTTTTCAACTCATGGTACAAGAAGACATGGTATGCTACTCCGATGGATGAGTCTTCGTCTACTTTGCGCACCAGCCACGTGACGTCCCATTGCCTTGAAAACCGTGCTTGAAACGGTCTTCTGACAACTTCGAAAGCTGTCAAATGTCAATTTACCTGTGACATCTGAGGTTATAGGGAGGTTGAGATTCGGTTCAGCTTTTAATCATGGGTTAACTTATCTTCCAAGGTGCCAAGTTGAAATCAGATGCTAACAATATGTGTTCAAAATTTGGCACCGTTCGTTGATAGTGATAGTACGAACATGAAACAAGTCCGAATTTAAAGTTGGCCGTCATAACAGCCACATGACGTCACACAAAATGCGCAATATCATACCATGT